AAGATGAGGTAGCGAGCAAATTCGATCAGGCTTGGTTCTCTGAGTCCACCACTCTGGTACTTCTGGACGATGAAGGCGCAATAGCGTCGGTCACCACTTCTGACAATTCCAAATCGGACTCCACTGTGCGCACCACTCTTGAGTGTCTCATCTTCCCATTGCTCCAGCTCCTCGGCCTTGACATCTCGTGCCACATAGGAAGAACTGCTTGCCACAGAAGTCCTTGATGGCGTCGGTGAGGGCGGCGCCGATGAAGCGGTTGATCTTGGTCGCGGTGGTGAAGTCGGAGTCACTGTCGTCGGAGAAAATCGGTGGGATGTAGTTCCAGACCTTGACATCGATGCCGTCGGGTCAAAGTTGGTGCCATAGACTCGATTCCGGCACTTGTTGTAGATCACATCCAACTGCTCCGCACCGATGGGATTTTGGTTCGTCAGGTCATACTGGACACCGATGGCAATCTGCATGAGTTCGATCACACGGCCTGGTTCATCAGTGGCATGCGGTGAAGCCGGACTGGGAGTGTAGCCAGAGCTTGACATAGGAGGCAACGACGGTGGCGTCGACGTGTCATAAGCTCTCCAAGCAGCTTCTCCAGTCTGTCCAGGTTGCTTGTGGCCAGTCCTGGATTCTCCACAGTCTTTGCATGTCCACTTCCAGCTCGTGCCAGTAGTCCCACGGAAATCCTTTCTCACATGCGGGCATTCATTCCGATCTCTTGTCTCCATGGAAGCGGCAGCTTCTCTTGCTTCAGACTTCAGCAGCTTTCCACAGTCCAAGCACTTCTCACGCAAGGTGTGGGCATTCGATCCTTGCTTCGTAGTTCTCTTGTGCTCACATTCACGTTCAGCAGGTCCAGAAGGCGGTGTAGAGAAAACCTCAGCAGATGTAGATCTTGCAGTGGGCGTTGGGCTCGTCGCTGCAGGTGTTGGCATTCTCATTGGTGTAGCCGGCGCAGGTTGTAGAGCAACTTGCTGTCCAAAAGCAGTGAAGGGAGGCGTCATGTCGTCATAGTCCATGTCATCCTCAGGAACTGGCACCAAGTGCTCGGCTGCACGGTGATGCACCAGCTGCATATCCGGTGGCAGTTCGTGAGGGTGAAGAGCAGCAGGTTGGGCAACAGCTTGATGAGGTACTCCACCATGTACAGGTAGTTCAGGAAGTCCACCAGGAAGAGCATGAGGGTTGGTCGCGGCAGCAGCTGCAGCCAATTGCCTTGCATGATGTTCTGCAAGAGCTTGATCCAACATCTCATCAGCAGTCAGCTCTCGTCCACCAGGTGTAGTGTTGACAGCCATGTAGGACTCCGCATTCTCCGATCCATCACCATTGTAGCCAGTGTACTCATTCACAGTGAAGTAGACCATGCGGGGCTTCGGAGATCCTTTTCCAGGGCTTTTGCCACCTTTCGGACTTCCACCTCCAGAAGAAGTCGGTGAAGTCGGTCCAGCTCCCTTGCCATAACCTTGTCGGTTCTTCGGACAAACAGCATCCGTAGACCAATGGCCTGTCTGTCCACATCGGCGACAGACAGTTCGCTTCTTCAAAGCTTCGATTCTTGCCTTCTTCTCATCGTTGGTCATACGGCTTTTGCCTTTGCCTTTGCTCTTGCCCTTGTCCACGAATCCTCCAAATCCTGCAAGTCCTGCATGTTGTGCTCGCTTGTGGGCGAAGTAGATCTCACCTTCCGCTTGGATGATCTCGGCGGCATAGTCCAGGGCTTCGGTGTTGTGCTCGTCCAAGCCATACTCCACAAGGTTGGCATAGGAGTCGATGTGGGGGTCCGCATCCTCGTAGTGCTCCTCAGTGTTATAGGTCTCCCCATCATAGGTGCTCATCGTCGATCCATAGTAGCTGGATTGAGCTTCATCCTCATAGCCACCCAGCGATTGCGATGAGTTGTCCCATGATTCTCCATGCCATTCTCCATCATCTTCAGCGTGGTATGACTGCCAGGGTTTCTGCAATCGAGAGGGGTAGCGATTGCCTTTTCCCCGTCCTCGTCCATGACTGAAGTCACCACCACGTCTCGCCTCGATCTCGTGGATGCGGCTGTGCTGAGCGATCAACTCATCCATGACCGAGTTGACCGTGATTCGTCCTTGAAGTGCAGTGCGGATCATCAGCTGATGATCATAGTTCAGCCCAGCGCACACCAGAGTCGGCTCGGCCAACAGGTTGTCAGGCAGCTGCAGGGAGTCGTCAAGGTCGCGCAGCATGGCATACCAAGTCCGTCTCCTCAGGCAGAAAGACGTCATAGATTCAGTAGGTTGCCTGGACAACACACCGTTGGTCTGAGCTCCTGCGTTGTAGAGCTCACGAGCTTCTTGATCTCTTCGAGGCTTGAAGGCTTTGTAGAGCGTGTCCACCAGCAAGGTCGGTCCATCGTCAGTTGCCAGCTTCTTCACATCTAGTCCTTTGGCGACTTGTAGAGCTTGTCCACGAAGTCCTTCGATCAACCTCAAGCCTAATGGCCCGAGTTTCTTGGCTTCTGTCTGGTCCATGGCAGCTGTACGGGCTTCCATCATCTTCACCCGGAAGCTGTACTCGGCCAACTTCGCCGCCTCGCCGTCATAGCGTGGCACGCCATTCTTCCCCTCAGTTCCAACCAGGTCGTCGGAGGTCTGGTTGAAGTTGCGCCAATGAAGGCATTCCAAAGCAGACATGGCTTCGGAACCGTGACCTAAGGTCAGTGCAGGTTGTTTTGGGGCCCACCTAGCAAACCGGTCAGTCAACCAACGTTGCCAACAGGAAACCAAATGTCCCCAGGAGTCGATGCTCCGCTGCCAGTTTGAAACTAGCAGCCCCCAAACAAGAACAGAAACTTGCTTGGTCTGCATGTGCAGCGACCACCTGTTTTGCTGGCGGTCGCTTGAGCCATTCGGCGTTCGAACGGCGGCATGATTGATTGAACCCAGCTGTGCACGGCAGTCAATTGGTTTGATCACCTATGTTGACCTGGATGTCACCTTCAGTTTCACAATGTATATGTATATGAGTGTGTATATATATATATGCACATACACATGGGCATGAATGAATCACAAACAAGTAAAGGAAACAATTGTCATATGCAAATCATCCACTTCTGGCGCATTTCATCCATTTTATATTGCCATCTTTGATTAGCAGAGGGCGGCTTTTGAGTTGTGACGTAAATGGTAAGCCGATGACCTTGTGTGCTGAGGAATAACCAGACTCAAGAGTGTCGCCTGGTTGCACCTGGTACATTCCGCCAATGTGAGCTCCTTTGGCCCGTTGGATTCCCTACCAAAATGGATGTTGTTGAATTTTGTTGGATTTCAATGAGCAAGATGTCTTGTGGACATCATGCCATGGCATGACATGTAGTTGTGGGCCTTGCCAACTTGGAGGCTTCTTTGAAGACACAGGAAATTGGTGAGAGAGAGCTATCAAACCAAAGAAGGTTGGGTATTTTGAAGGTCACAAGTGGTCGTGTGGCAACTGGTCGCTGGATGAGCCTAGGGATAGATGAAGGAATCGAGAAGGTGAGACAATTCACAATGGCCCAATCTGTGGACTTTTGTTCTGCGTTCGCATCAGCCTGCAGGCCAGTGCGCAAAGATGCGCAAAGCATTGATGATAAGAGCAGGCGTGACCTGTACAGCTCAATGGAAAGATTTTTTTTCGAGGCGCAACGCCGCAACCACTTAAAATGTGGGATCTTGCAAGCACCACTGCCAAAAGCACCAAACGCATGGTGGTATGCTGTGGCACACCGCCCGGTGCTCACTTTTCCACCAAGCGTGACAGACTTACACAGAAATACGTTTGCAAATAGGGTGCTCCAAATCCACTGGTGACGGTCAAGAATCATATTCCCTGATCTGCAGACAGATTCTTCGGTGGATGCAGTGATTTCACCATATTTCACCTGCACCATCCCCAAATTTGACAAAACCTGGGCACGTGCCCATTTTCAGACGCACTAAAAAAATTGGACATATTGAAGGTTTTACGTCACGTCCATTCAAGGAAAAGCACCCATAAAACCATCATTTTGCGACTGGTTTTTCGTCCATTTGTATCCGACTTCAAAGGGGGAGTAATTTCTTGGCATCACATGAAAATACATGAAATGATGCGATTCGTGGTGGCTTGCGCGCCAGCCCAGAGCGAGCCCAATGGGGCTGTGGTCTCGCGTCACTCCGAGTGAGTGACTTTGCAGCCACCTTGGCTGTCGGGTAGTGAGGGTCCGGTGCTTCGTTGGATGATTTGGGTAACTGGGGACATTTGGAAAAACATGATTTCATGGGGGTATAGTGGCATAATGTGGCATATAAATGCATAGGTCAACTCAATGTGACATGTGGGTTTGTATGAAAATTTGGTACCCCCAAACCAAATGGTTTATACTCATTTTCCGCATATGACCGGCTGTTGCTGGGGTATAGCGTAAACCCCATTTCTGGACACACGCCTGTGATCACTTTGATCATAGATCTGAATGGCAGACTGGTCACTATGCGATGCCCCCGCTCTAACTTCGTTGGATGATTTGGTTCTGACCAAAGTTCCGAAGTGGCTAAACTTTTTCCGTGAATTCTCCGGTCCTGACTGTGAGCCGAACCCTTGGAACAGCACAAAACTGGCCGGGGAAGGTATTTGTCCAATTTAATCACCGCGAGCCGAAGTGCAGTCAAACGGACATGCATCAAGGTCCAGAACAAGCTTTTCATGAGTCCATGTTGGAGGTGGTGCGCGGTGCGAATTAGTTCTCAAACTCATTTGATAGTGGAATGTAGGTGCACCTGTAATGTGCAAATCAGCAGCGTGCTTCGCCAGTGCTGCTGAAAACACCTTGCAACTGTGTGCTGCTGTGCTGCTTGAGGTAGGATCCCCTTTGAACTGAAGTCTTGTGTTTCCCTTGTCCCTGCTGATGCTTGTCCATAGTATGGATTGGCCTTCGCAATTCTTTGCATCAGTAAGTTTACAGGTTCAGAACGTCCAGGTAGATTTGCTGATCCTGCCCCGTCAGCATGGCTTACTGTGTGCCGCAGATGCAGTATTCGGTGAATGTCGACCCTTCGATGATGCAGTCGCAGATCTACCAAGAGCCACAGATGTCCAACCCCCTGTGGTCCACCGCGTCAAATGATCACCCACAGACTCATCAGACTCATCAAGGGAACAACGGACCCATGCTCCTTTTGATGCTGCCGCTGCCATCACTTGGACAGATGTCTCCGTCTCCATGCTCACCGATGTCACCGTCACCATTGTCCCCCACGCCTTTCTCGCCATCCCATTTTTCGCCATCACCACTCTCTCCTGTGTCAGCAGATTTCTATCCCGGCAGCCCTGTGCGCAACTACTTGCGCACCAACAGTGGTGGTGATGCTTCTGAAGCAGGAGACATAGCCAGTCCAGCAACCAACAGTCGCAGCTCCAAAGGGCCAATCTCAAAGCTCCAAGAGTTTGTTCAAAGCAGCAAGGCACATCCGCTTCCAAGCAGCTGTGCGGTATTGCAGTGGAGCCATGAAAATCGCATGGCAGGATCAAGCCTTCAGTTTCGAGCCACAACATCCTTCTTACTTGATGGAGTACCACACCATGTTCTGGGTGGATGGTGGCCGTCAAAGAAGCAATCTCAGCGTGATGCAGCCGAACGAGCTCTGGCATTCTTCATCGGCATGTGTGGACAGGAGCTGGCAAAGGGGAAGGATGGCAACAACGGATGCAAAGTCCGTAGTCAAAATGGCAAGCATGAAGAGGCCCCCGAAGAAGCGGACTTGGAAGCCTTTGTGGGGCAGCAGCTGCAGTGGAGCTGCCGTTGGGAGGCCCAAACAGATCAAGCCTATGACGGAGCATTGTGCAAGGCCACCGTTGAGTTCACATACCTTGGCATTCCACACGTCTTTGCGGGCAAGGCATGCACGAGCAAAGCAGCAGCCAGAGCGGACACGGCACGACGCGTCTTGTGGTACTTGCACGCCTCCGGCTATGAGAACGCTTTTGAAGTTGAACAGGAGCAGGTCAAGGCTGGAGACAGTTTGTGACATAATAGTATCAAGAGCCTACGTAAATGATGATAACACGCACTCAATATTATAATTAATTTTTATTTTACATACACGTATATATATATAATATATCGCACACACACACACACACATATATATATATGTATAAATGTATATTATGCATTACATATGGTACACACACACACATACATATACAATCATATACATATATACATGCAACAGGATCCCTGCCGTTGCTTCCAGGCCTTGGCTCAGGCCATTCCCGAGCCGGTGCCTGGCACTTGGCCACCTTTGGAGGCCTTGGGAAGTCCAGTGAGCACCACGGCTTCAGCGGGTGACCAGGACTGGTTGAGGATGGGAATATCTGGTTGATTACAGAAATTTAATGTGGTCACATGTGATAATTCACAGATATATGCATCCATACATATGACATATTGTATGTATATATATATAAACATATACATATAAACATAAACATACATATGTCTATACATATAAACATATACATATGCACATATACATATGTACATATACAAGTACACATGTCTAGAATGATGTACACACACATAATTTGATCTCTGTGTTCGTCTAAAAATGGGGGATGGCCCCCAGGTTATGGCACTTTTGATAGGCAAAAACATGAGAAACCTGTGTTTGACCGAGCATGTAACACAAAGAGGGGACGGTTGGACAGAGTGGGGCAGATCATGAGAGATCCATGTCAATCCAGTCCATATCAAAAACAAACATTTCAGTGCTTCCAGGTTGAGAGTTTGGAAAGGCTGCGGGGTTGGCATACCGGCAAAAGGCTACCTGGCTACCTTTGATGTTAGATCTTTGTTTTAACTCACTGCTGGATGCATTCACTGTCAGGAGCTGGACTTGAGCCCTTCCAGCCCTACAAGTCCAGGACCGAAGTCTCAAGCTGAAGCTGAGCTGCTCGAGCGCAAGACCACGGTGATGCGTTTGCAGAACAGGCTCCAGAAGATCTTTGCCAAACAGCTCACACCGGGCAAGAGCGTGTGGTGCTGGCGCTATGAGAAGAACGAGGTTGACCACACCTTCCAAGCTTCCGTTCACATCTCCCTTTTGGATCGATCTTTCACCGGTGGATGGGCAGCAACCCACCAAGCAGCACAGATGGAAGCGTGCAACCAGTTGGCAGCGTTCCTGGACAGAGACTTTAAGGCCTGAGCAACAGATTGGCCAGCACAATGCTGAGACGTGATGTCGTGCCAACAGCTCGGATTGTTTTACAGAATTCAGAGCCTGGTTTCCAGCAGCTGCAAGTCGAAAAGCTTGGTTGGAGCCATGTGAAGTTGGTGTTCGCTGCCAACTGAACCATTCTGAATGCCATAAATTATATAAATAGGATTATTGTTTTTCTTTGTGGCATGTTTGGCAGCATGCTCATCACCCTAAATCAATCTCTGGTGCTTGCTCTGCTTTTTGTCCCACGGCTTTGTTTCTATGCCTCTATGCCAAGAGCATGGAGAAAGCATAGCATTGCATGATGGTCATACGGTGACAACTGAGCTTATGAGGCCTTTGTTTTGAGTTTGTTTGACTCCAATAGCAGTTAATTCCCTAGATGTGATAATGTTTTTACGTATCTTGAGCGAAGAGAAGGTTCGAACATGATTGCAAGCGTTTCACGTGCTCAGTGGTTTGGAATCGTGGGCCGTTTTTTGCGTGTCCGCCAAGTGGTCCGCAAAGTTGGCTGCCCAACTCCAACGGTTGCTAGACCCGGCTCAGCATGGATTCCATGGCCTGAGCTTTTAGAGCGAGATCTGCATCCGCTGCGCTGCGATGAAACGGTGATCAGCAAACTGTCGCGGTGAAACCGACGGCAAGCTTTCCATGCTGATCCCTAGCGTGCAGCGACAGGCAATGCGGCAATGACAGGCAGTACACTTGGTCACTGTCTGTACCGAAAAAGGAAAAGACTCTGAACAGTGCTCAGCTGCTCACCATGCGGTTGCAGGAAATTGTTTCTCCTTACGCAAGCTATTTGCCCTTCCTCTTGAGTTTTTCCTTGACCCCCAGGACTTTGCATAGGTTGGTGATGGTGATCATAGTCATAGTCATTGGATGTTGATTCTTTGCTTTTCACAGGAGTGGCCCCTGGACACTGCGACTGCGAGGACATAGCAACTGAATGAGTTGGAAAAGTTGACTGCACGGCCGGCTTGCCAATGAAGGATGTGCCGAAGACAACTGGGGCAAAGATTTTGAAGCTGTCAATGATGGTTTTGATATGTTTTGATTGTGTGTGTTGAAGGCATGCAGCAGAATTTTCTGGAGCCGAGAGGATCAAACCATAGCACAGCCTTACGATGCACAAAAGGACCCAAGCTTGGCAAGAACCGCAACAGAGAGAGAGAGAGAGTTAGAATTAGAAGTCCTCCAGGACCTCAGACCACACGTTTTGCCCTTGATCCATGCACTGCTGCCAGAGTTGACTCTGATGGATGAATTGCATTGCGCCCCAAGCGTGCCAAATGGCTTGGTTCTGCCTGTCTGGTGCTTAATGGTGCTTAGCTTTGGGCAAATGTAGCTGCCTTTGAGCTGTTGAGACCATTCTGAACCTCCACTTCAATTATTTGAAGTACAGGTGGCAAAGTCTAGATTTTTAAGATTGATAGTTCATGGTAGTTCATGGTAGTTCCACGCAAAGGTATGGAATCAAACGATGACAAATTGCAACCATCCTGTTACATGATTTACATGGTCTTCTCGGCCTGGAGAGCTTTTCAAGATCCAGAACGCCCACGTAGATTTGCTGATCCTGCCCCATCAGCATGGCTTACTGTGTCCCGCAGATGCAGTATTCGGTGAATGTCGACCCTTCGATGATGCAGTCGCAGATCTACCAAGAGCCACAGATGTCCAACCCCCTGTGGTCCACCGCGTCAAATGATCACCCACAGACTCATCAGACTCATCAAGGGAACAACGGACCCATGCTCCTTTTGATGCCGCCGCTGCCATCACTTGGACAGATGTCTCCGTCTCCATGCTCACCGATGTCACCATCACCATTGTCCCCCACGCCTTTCTCGCCATCCCATTTTTCGCCATCACCACTCTCTCCTGTGTCAGCAGATTTCTATCCCGGCAGCCCTGTGCGCAACTACTTGCACACCAACAGCGGTGGTGATGCTTCTGAAGCAGGAGACATAGCCAGTCCAGCAACCAACAGTCGCAGCTCCAAAGGGCCAATCTCAAAGCTCCAAGAGTTTGTTCAAAGCAGCAAGGCACATCCGCTTCCAAGCAGCTGTGCGGTATTGCAGTGGAGCCATGAAAATCGCATGGCAGGATCAAGCCTTCAGTTTCGAGCCACAACATCCTTCTTACTTGATGGAGTACCACACCATGTTCTGGGTGGATGGTGGCCGTCAAAGAAGCAATCTCAGCGTGATGCAGCCGAACGAGCTCTGGCATTCTTCATCGGCATGTGTGGACAGGAGCTGGCAAAGGGGAAGGATGGCAACAACGGATGCAAAGTCCGTAGTCAAAATGGCAAGCATGAAGAGGCCCCCGAAGAAGCGGACTTGGAAGCCTTTGTGGGGCAGCAGCTGCAGTGGAGCTGCCGTTGGGAGGCCCAAACAGATCAAGCCTATGACGGAGCATTGTGCAAGGCCACCGTTGAGTTCACATACCTTGGCATTCCACACGTCTTTGCGGGCAAGGCATGCACGAGCAAAGCAGCAGCCAGAGCGGACACGGCACGACGCGTCTTGTGGTACTTGCACGCCTCCGGCTATGAGAACGCTTTTGAAGTTGAACAGGAACAGGTCAAGGCTGGAGACAGTTGGTGAATGTTGGTGACATAATAGTATCAAGAGCCTACGTAAATGATGATAATCCGCACTTAATATCACTTAATTATACTTATATAATTAATCTTAATTCAAATGTAGACTACTTTAGCAAGGGAGGGTCCAGTTGTGTTGAGAGAGTGCACCAAACCATGTAAAGCGATAGGCCCCCCCAAAAAGCGATAACTTGTAACCATATGAAAGTGCATTAAACTTGGAGTGTAAACCAAGCAAATATTGTTGTGTGCCTGCACGCGGTGGGCAAAATTGATGAAGAAAATTCACCTGCAGTGCTCACGTTTCTTTGTTGTCCAAGGTGATTGAACCGACCGTTGCTTGCTGCAGGCAGCTGTTTTTTCCCCCCAGGTCCCAAAGCAGTAGAACTAAAAACTTAACTAAAAGCAACCAAATTCAGAATTAAACTAAAACATAGTTTAGAATTTAAATCTAATTCTGAATTCCGTTTATGTGATGTGCTTTACTTTAATTTGAATTTCGTATTCCTTTGTTTCCTTTTCTTTGTTTTTCCTTCCTTTTTCCTCCTATTTTCCTATTGAAATCTGAAGTAAATCAAAATTGATTTTGAATCCAATTCTGCATTTCATTTATTTTAATGTTATTTCATGTTATTTCCCTTTTGTTTCATTTGTCATTTCTTCTTCCTTCGTTTCCTTTTCTCGTTCTTTCCTTCCGTTTTCCTTTTATTTTTTTCAATTGTCCTTTTTGTTCCACGTTCCTTTGTCTTTTCCTTTCTTGATCATCAAGGTGTTCTAATTTAGCGATATCCTTACGTAGCGATAACCTAGCGATAACTTTTTGTTGAAAAAGGAACCCCGGACGAGGGATAGACTCATTTGATCCCAACAAGAAGAACTCAACAAAAAAGCGAACAGGTTCTCAACTCTAGGCCACTGCCGGTTGTTTTGAGACTTGGGGAGCCTTAAGCCTTAAGCACTTCTTCGTAGCTAGGAACGCTTCTTTACTGGAACTATGAGGTCCCATCTTCAATTTCTAGAGCTTTTGAGCGGGGAAGTGTGGCGTTTTCTGACGCCATGGCTTGTCAAAGAAGGACAATTGCGAGGTGACCCTTTTTCGTTTTCATAGAATTTGTGATCTTGTAACCGTTGGGAGCCATTGATCTTATATAATTAAGTTCAGAGTTGAGCTTGTAATAAATGTCCTTCCTTAGGAAGGAGTCTAGGAATGTGCTTAGATAGCTCCTCAACATGGTTGCAAACGCTAAAGACAACGAGCGCCCCTTAATCCATTCCCAGCAGTTTAGATCTGAATCCGTGAAGCCAATTCCGTCGCATTTTTGGCATTATTAAGTTGAACAAAACACTGTAAAGCGATAGGGCCTTCCCCAAAAAGCGATAACTTATATGTTCGTACCAAGCATCAACAATTGATTTTGACGGCGGCTCTATTATCAGGCCTTGTATGACAGGTAGCATTTCACACATTTGTATACATTTGTGGGATTTGCACTGATGGCAGCGATGTCACAGTACAACTAGATTCAGATAGCTGCCTGTCACAGAGAGAGAGAGAGAGAGAGTTGTTTGCCCCTGAAGCTTGCAGCTTGCTAGCCAGGGTGCTGGCAGAACCAACTACATTCCGGTTGTAGGGTGTTGGAACCCATCTATGAACCACCAGGTTGCAAAGAACAACTTGCAGGAACACCAGGTGTTTTTTCCATGAACATCTGGTAAAACTTGGGGGTTTCCACTGGTCCAGTGTAATTTCCTTGAAGCCAACCCAGTGAAAACTAGCTACCCTGCCATCAACTAGCATACATGTGGAGACTAGCATTTTCAGGGATGACTTCCTTCTAAAAAACTGGCGATATTCCATGTCTATGCTATATGCTAGTGGTGGGGCAACTTCAGGGTGCATCCCAGCAATACCCATATTATTATATAATTCAGTTGTAAAGGAAACATCCATCCCCATATATACTGTATATATAATAATGATAATAATAACAACAATAGTACTACTACTACTACTAATAATAATAATAATAATCATTAATAATAATATATAATAATAATAATTATAATAATAATAGTAATAATAATAATGATAATAATAATAATAATAATAATATATATATATATATAAGAGTTACAATGCTCAAGGTTCGGTTTGGGCCCGCACATGCAAGCACATGGGGGTGCACTTCCACTTTTGCATTGATATAGAACCATAGGTTTCAGGGCTTATATTAACTTATATCCCAATTATCCCAATTGATGTATTTTTTACCTGGGAATGTATTACATCATCTCCGACCACGCTGTTGGATCATAGTCATAGGGATCATGTATGAAGGAAAGCGCCTCCATCGCAGGTATTAGTAATCTCATCCCA